TTTCAATTTATATCCTGCCTTTTTCCTACAAAGGGCTCAAGGCAGCTGACATCATTCTCCTCCTCCATCTTATCCCCACAACAGCAACCCTGTGAGGTAGGCTGGGCTGAGAGTCTGTGACTGGCCCAAAGTCACCCAGTTGGCTCTGTGGCCGAGCGGGGACTCGAACCCGGATCGCCTGAATCTCAGTCCCATGCTCTTAACCACTAAATGCTAACACAATTGAATTTTATCTGGCCAGGGCGGCTTATTTTATAATGTGTGTTTTAAATTATGATTATTTTATATGGATATTTTAACTTATTGTTTTATCTAGTGTTGTAAGCCGCCCCGAGGCTTCGGCGAATGGGGCGGCATAAAAATGTTTTAATAAATAAAGAAAGAAAGGGACGAGGCGCAGCCTTCCGTTGGACGGCCAGCCCGGCCTCCCTGACCCACATGCAGCGGTGCCGCGATTCGGGGCTGCCTTCGGCTCGGGAGCTTAGCTGAGTTTTCGTCGCGTCCTTAATGGTGCTTCCGATTTACCATTTTTAATGTCATGTTTCAGTTCAGGTTTGGTTCGTAATCTGTTTTATAGAGTGCCATTCCGGGGCAGAAAGGTTATGAGCAAGGGGGATCATAACACGCCCCGCGTGGGTCCATGGAAGGGGGAGAAAAACCATCCCTTTCACATGGGTTGTGAACTGGGTGGGGCCAGGAGGGGTTAAGGGCTGTGGGAACAGAGCAGCCGAGCTTTGATGCCGCTTCTGGACCAATTAATCTTCGCAAACCATTCCAGGGTGTTTGCAAAGCCCTGGGCGCTTCAGGGCCAGAACGTTTAACTGATCACTTGGACGGTTTCAGAGATGCAGTGGCTCGGACAGGTACTCTCTAAAACTTCTTGCTGCTCCGAGTTAGAGAGGCACAGATTTTTCTGTGTTTTCAGCACCTGCAGAAAACATTACTTTCCCGGCAGGCAAGCCCAGGAATGCTGCCTTCGATATCCAGTAATATACATTATGTAAGCAGTTATTGTTTTTGATGCTGCTCAAGCACACCTGGTTTCTGAACTAAAATCGGAGAGCCGTTTGCCTACAAGCCGAAGCCAGAGGCCTGCAGCTGGAGGGGGGGGGGCGACAAGGAGAAGGGTCTTATTTTTATTATTATTTATTATTTATTAAAACATTTTTATGCCGCCCCATTCGCCGAAGCCTCAGGGCGGCTTACAACATAGATAAAACAAGTTAAAATCCATATAAAATAATCTTAATTAAAACTCACATTATAAAATAAGCCGCCCTGGCCAGATAAAATTCAATTGTATTTAGCATTTAAAATGTTGCTTAAATAAAAAGGTCTTAGCCTGGCGCCGAAAAACAAATAACGACGGCGCCAGGCGGACCTCTCTGGGGAGCGCATTCCATAACTTAGGCGCCACCGCTGAGAAAGCCCTTCTCCGAGTAGCCACCCTCCTAATTTCTCTCACGGAGGGTTCCCGGAGAAGGGCCTCTCCCGCCGATCTCAGGGGGCGACTGGGCAAATATGGATGTAAGCGCTCCTTCAGGTAACCAGGACCCAAGCCGTTTAGGGCTTTATAGGTCATTACCAACACCTTGAATTGGGCCCGGACTTCAATGGGGAGCCAGTGAAGCTGACGGAGAACTGGTGTCATGTGAACATAACGTCCAGTCCCCGTCAGCAGCCTGGCAGCTCTATTCTGAACCAATTGAAGTATCCGGACCGTCTTCAAGGGTAGCCCCACGTAGAGCGCATTACAGAAGTCAAGACGGGAAGTCACCAGCGCATGAGTCACTGTTGCAAGGCAGTCGTACTCCAGGTAGGGGCGCAGCTGATGAATCAGCCGAAGCTGGAGGAAAGCGCTCCTCGCCGCTGTTGTCACCTGAGCTTCAAGTGAAAGCTCCGGGTCGAGGAGCACTCCCAAGCTGCGGACCTTGTCCCTAGGAGGGAGTGCAACCCCATTCAGGACAAGGTTCAGGTCACCTTCTCCGAAGCCCGAACCGCCAACCAACAGGACCTCCGTCTTCTCAGAGGTGGCCCCCAGATTCCAGAATGATTTGCTTCTCTGAGGCCTGCCTAACCCCAGCATCTGCCTTTTCAGCAGCGGGTTGAGACTGCCCTCTGCTCCCAGGCATTTCATCCGTGTTGATCGTTCTAACAGGAGTGGCGTTGATTAAAATGATTTTAGTTTCAGCTACTTGGAATGTTATGCTGTATTGTATTATATTTCAGTTGTCATCCTTTTCTTGCTATTGAATCTATCTTTCGAATTGTGAGATGCCAAGAGAGCTTTGACAGTTTGGCAAAATGCAAATTAAAATCCGCGATCCCAGTGGTGATGATAATAATGAACTGTAAAGGAAGAAGCAGGCCCTTGTTTGCGAGAGCTGTTTTTGTCGTCTTTGACACTGGCGAACGGCGATTCTCCTCCGGGAATCTGCTTTGGGCTTCAGCTCCTGGCTTATTTCTCTTCTCAGGGCCTCTCCGGGCACTTTGGGAACACCGAGTAAAAAGAATACAGACATCTGACCACAAGAACCCCTCCCATGGCCGTTCACATGGGCCTGCGAGCTCAGGGGAACCGGGCCAAGCCAAACCCAAAGAAGGGCTGCGGTCGCTGCAGCCGGATGCCACTGGGGAGAAGCGGGGAAGTGCCTCTGGCTTTGCAGCATGCCTCCCCCCTTCGGGGCTCCAGCAGGAAGGGTGAGTGGTCCCGGCAGCCAGAGGGTTAACACCTGTGTGAGAACCGCCACCCCGACTTCTCCCGCCACCGGCTCAGACAAATACGCTGTTTGCTAAGTTACCAGGCGCTGGCAGGCGGGCGAGAGACGGGCGGACGCTGCTCTGCCGCGGACGGGTCCCCGAGAGAGACGGAGGGATGGCCCCCTGGCTGGTGGTGTGCCTCGCTCTCTGCCTCTCCTTCTGGTGGCTGTGGAGGCACCTGGCCCTCCCAGGCTGCGGGACACGCCATGCGGGGCCCCGGCGGGCCCCCACGGAGGGCGGGCACGGGGCCGCAGCCCGTCCGGGAGAGGAGACTGCCACACGGGTCGGGGACTGCCGGCTGTTCTGCAAGCCCTCGGCCCTGGCACACGCCCTGGTCGGGGCCTTCCGGCACTCGGCCGAGCTGGACGCCCGCCACTGGCTCTGGAAGGGCTGGCCGAGCCTGCAGACGGCCGTGCAGCTCCTCTGGCCCCCGGGCCGGCCGCTGGCGATCTCCCGGGAGCACCTGCAGCTGCCGGACGGCGGCATCGTCGCGCTGGACTGGGTGGGCGCCCCCCCGGGCCGGGCCGGGGCCCCCCACGTGCTGCTGATCGTGCCGGGCGCGGCCGGCCAGGTCACCCGCGGCATCCGCCAGCTGTGCCGCCTGGCCCTGCGGGAAGGGTGCTTCCCGGCCGTCTTCAACCGGCGGGGCCACAACGGCTGCCCCCTCACCACCCCGAGGCTGCAGCCCTTCGGGGACCCCGCGGACCTGCGGGAGGCCGTGGCGTACGTCCGCTTCCGGCACCCCTCCGCGCCGCTCTTCGCCGTCAGCGAAGGCTCCGGCTCCGGGCTGCTGCTCTCCTACCTGGGCGAACACGGGGCGTCGAGCGGCCTGGCCGGGGCGGCCTGCGTCTCCCCCGTGCTGAGGGCCCGGGCTTGGTTCGAGGCCGGCACCCCGTGGTGGCACGAATGGATCTCGCTGGCACTGCAGAGGAGACAAATCAGCAGGTGAGCCCCTTGCGGCTGCGGTGCCTGCCCTGCAGCGCCCACTGGGCTTCTCTTCCCCTCCCGGAGTCCCCGGGCCCATTCGACACGCTGGGAGCCGGGAGCCTAGGCAATCGCCCAGGGCTTGCCTCGCCCCCAGGACCGAAGCTCGGCTTGCTCCTGTGTCAAGAGCAGTGCAAACTTCCACCGATGGAGAGATTGTATCCAGGCAGCGGTCCTCGGAGCTAATCGCAGAGCAAAGGAGAGCCTGCCAGAGGCACTCCAGCTGCAGGCTCCCAGCCTTTGATTTGCTCTCAAGGCGGTCCTTTGGCCTGTACTCACTCTTGGGGGGCAGACCCACACTCCTGCCCCCAACCAGTGGGAAACAGCTCCGAGCGACTCCTTTGAGGCTTGCAAGAGAGAGCAGGGATTTAGCAGGCAGGGCTGAAGTGCACAGTGCCTTACAGGCCCCTGAGGGCGAGCTGCGTGGTTTGGATTACTTGAGAGTAAGCGCACGGCCCCTCAATCCAGGATGGACCCGACACGTATTAAAGGGTCGTTATTCTGTCCCAGCTCCCTTTTTTCTTCAAGTTTTCCCCGTTGGCAGTAATCCGTCCTCCATAAGAACTAGTAACTTGTTTTGACTGAATCAGAAGCCATGACCTCCTGAATTTCCCGCATGCAACACCCCTGACACGTAGCTTTGAAGACTGTACTAGCCAGCTATTACTATCTGGGCGGGTGCGTGCCAGCAGAGCAAGCGTCAGTTCTGTCACCAAGACCATCGGCCATGCTTGCTGTGGCCGATGGGAGTTGAAGCCCGAGGGCATCTTCCGCAAAGGCTGCCCTAAGCCCAGTGGCTTTTTTTTTTTTTTCCGATTTATATCCTGCCTTTTTCCTATGAAGGGCTCAAGGCAGCTTACATCATTCTCCTCCTCCATCTTATCCCCACAACAACAGCCCTGTGAGGGAGGTTGGGCTGAGAGTCTGTGACTGGCCCAGAGTCACCCAGTTGGCCCCATGGCTGAGCAGGGACTTGAACCCGGATCACCTGAGTCCCAGTCCCATGCTCTTCACCACTACGCCACACTGCCTTCCACGACAGCGGAGATGTCCCGAGAGCGCCCTGCCCTCCCTGAGTCCTGCCCGTTGTTCCCTCCACATCTCCGGTTCGGAACTGCCCCCTGGGGACCCATGGATGCTGTTGCCGCGACAACCCGGGTGCCACATCCGTCCCGGGACGCTCGGATTCCCACTGGGGAGGGCCCAGGGGACAGGAGGGGGTCAGAGCAGGTACTTCCCTCCCGGGCTAACGGCGAGGGGAGCCCGTGGGCCCCCCACACCCCGCCCCGCCCTGCCCGGCCACGCCGAGCCCCCCCAACCGTGGCCGCTCCTTCCGCCCCCAGGTACGCCGAGGCCCTGCGAGGGGCGGTGGACGTGGACCGGGCGCTGGGCAGCCGCTCGCTGCGGGCCCTGGAAGAGGCGCTCTTCTGCCACGCCGGGAGCCCGGGCGCCACGTGGGAGGCCTACTGGGAGCGCAACGAGCCCCTGCGGGACGCGGACGAGGTGGCCGTGCCGGTGCTGTGCCTCTGCAGCGCCGACGACCCCGTGCGCGGGCCGCCGGGCGCCACCCTGCCCTGGGAGCTCTTCCAGAGCAGCCCCTACCTCTTCCTGCTGCTCAGCCCCCACGGCGGGCACTGCGGCTTCCTCGGGAGGCGCCTCGGGGAGTCGTGGGGCAACCCGGTGGCCCTCCGCTTCCTGCGGGCCGTGCTGGAGTTCCTCCGCCTGGAGGAGCAGCCGGAGGAGAGGCCGGGACGGAGGAGCTCGGCCCTGCCCCATCGCCGCTGGCGGGGCACCCTTCCGAGCGCAGGGGCCGGGCCCCCTTCCCCGGAGAGCTTCAGCTGGCACCGCTCGTACACCCGCTGACCTCGGAGAGGAGAGGGGGCCGCTGGCCGGGTGCCCAGGGGGCCGTGGGGCTTACAACCCGGCCAAATCAACTAAGGGCAATCGACGACGTGGGGGAACGTTGGGCCCTGGGGTGGGGCAAAATAAAGGCTTTGCTGACGCACCGACTGGCCAAATCCGGGCATTTCTCGCCACGCAGGAGGGGAAGCCGGCGCGTGGTCCCGCCGGCTGTGCTTTCGGGCGAGCAGACCCGCCAAGGCAGTCTGTGAATTGGGCCTCGCTGAACTGAGCTGCCCAGGATGCTGGGAAATGTGGTGCTCTGAAGCAGGGGGTGAATGTGGAGCACTGCATTACAAAATAACTTGAAATGGGGCTGGGGGGGATAACCTCCCAAAGCAAGAAACCGTATCCCCCGATCGCCGGCAAGAAAGAGGGCCGTGGCAGGACAGAGGTTTGGGGCTTGGCGTCCTGTGAGGCTGGGGGCTGCAGCCCTTGGGGGGCGCTGCCCTCAGCTGGCACCCTCCCCATGGGCCGCACCAGTCTGCTGGCTGAGGGATGCTGGGAATTGCAGTCCAACCCACCCAGAGTAGGGGAGGGCAGCGGCTCTGGGCCCCCTCCTGGCCTCCCCAACCTCAACGGGGCAACCGGCTTGACCTGCGGAAGGGCCCCGAAGGCAGGGCAGAGGTTCGGGGGCCCGAGCGAGCCCCCGCGGACACGTCCCGCGAGGCAGGTAGCGTCAGTTGCGACTGGGCAGCGCTAAGCAGGGCGACTTGCACGGAGGGCGAAGCGGAGATCCCCGGCCAGCGTTCGGAGAGTCCGGCCTGGGCCACCTTTGCAAGCAAGAAGAACCGACACAGCATCTACTAAAATTACTTTATTACAGCTCAATTTTTTTAAACATTTCCTTTGCTATGATACAAAGGATACTTACAAACAAAATATTACAGATGACCTCTTTCCCGTGTCCCCTGGCCCCCAACAGCTTGGTAACAGCTTTAAATGCACAATCTATACAATTAATACAGGTTATATATGAGCTATTATGTACGTCTGAACCAGAAGAATACCGGAATACTGACAAGAATTATCGTACAAAAGCACTCACGCCACACTTTGCCCAGTGGGGAAACGCACATCGCTCGGCGTGGGGCGCAAAAGCTGGGAGTCGTTCACGCTCAGTATGCCAAGCCGGCGCCTAGGAAAACTACCCTCCTGGCCTGCCCATTTCCGTGCCCGGGTGTGACCAGCCCGCCGGGGAGGAGGCTTGGCCAGGGATCTCTGAACCCAACTTGAAAGAAATGAAACGGGAACCCCGCCAAGGCAACGGAGGCGGCCGGGGATCCCTGAACGGCCAATTCTTCTATGCAACGTGTGAGCTGTCCTGTCGTTGAGAGCCGGGCCTTGGATTAGTGTCTTTCGGAATAATTCGCTCCGGGTTTCCTCTTTAGTGTGCCTGCCCGTCCATGTGGATTTCGTTTCTACAGACCGCTCTACCGGCTGGATAGAGCGGTGGTCCAAAACGCTTGGAAAAATTGCAGGGTTGAGCCGAAAGGATTCCTTGTGACCTGTAGGAGAAGCTGCGCCTACCAAGCTAGTGCAGAGCCGCTGGGTTCGCTCGCTCTCTGTTCTCAAAGCCCCCCGTTTTCCTGCAGCCATCGCCTCGCTTGCTCTCCAAAACCCTCTCCCCAAAAGTAACGGGGCAGTGAACTTGCCCCCATCCCATCGCTTTTAAGAACTGTGCAACAAGAGCCGGCACTCTCCTTTTCCAGTCTCCTTTTGGATGGGTGACTGGAACGGACTGTCAAAAATTAATTTGAATGGCCAGATGTTTGCACGGCAAGCTGCAAACGGGGGACAGAAACAGGGAGCGTCAAAGCATCAGCAGGTTGTGAAGTGGAAGGCGTGGGGACGGTGGGGGAGAAAGGATATCATGCTGGAGTTGTGAAGCCATGGGGTGGGACTCCTGATTGCAGGGAAATTAAGAAACCGAGCGGCCGGGCGGCTGGCTGCTGTGGGGGGTGGCTGGAGAATTATACATTCAAGATGCTTTTGAAATTGGTTTTACCCCGTGGGGTAAACTTCTACTGAAGCTGAAGCAACAGGTCATTAGAAAGCAAGTCTCTCTTGTTGTTAAAGTAATCTTCACAAGACAAGCAAGCGTCCGTTTCCACTTGTTTAAAATGTCAAATGTACACTATTCACAGCTCACACCAGCCCGAGGCCTCCGTTCGGTTGCCCCCTGCCTTGCCCATTATGGCAGAGGCGGCTACGAGACCCCACCTGGCACAGGTAACCTGCACCCCCCTCCACCTGCGCAGCACTGAGCGGCCAGGGCGGATCCGGAGCACCCAAAGGTGTCGGGCGATGCACAGGTGTTGGCTACTTTTAGAAGGGAAGCACCCCCCCACCCCATCATTTCGGTAACTATTTCCGCTTCTTCCCACGTGGGCCGATGCACCACTAGTTTTAAGAGTTGTAACTGGAGTTTGTTCAAATCCGCTCTGGGGAGGCCAGGAGCAAATGCAGCCTGGGCCGGAAAGGGGCGAGGCAAATGGGGGGGGGGGGCAGAACGTGGGGCTGTGGGGAGGGAGAAGCGACACGCCTGCATGAACCCACATCGCAGCCACGGGCGAGGCGCCGCTTCGCACAAGCGGGCAGGCGGGCGGGCGAGTGGGGCACGCACCCCACACCTTCACTGGAGGCAAATTCAGAGGCGGGCGGCCACACGCCTCAGGGCCTTATCTGCAGCAAAAAGCTACCTGACTCCGTCCGCGCGAGGAGGAACCGGCTGGGCGGCAGGGGCATTTTGAAAAGGAAAACTGGGAATAATCCGAGCACCGCAAGCCAAAAGCCCCGGCCACGGGCCCTGCCTTTTGGTCCCACGGAGCCGACCCAAAACAGCGCAGGGCTGGGGTCAGCAGCCAGCGACGGGACCCCTGGAGCCCACCGGTCTCCCCTGAACGCCGGCCCTGGCGTGCTCTCGCCACGTCTCAAACGAGCTCCGGAAAAGACGGACGGGCCGAGAGGAGAGGAGATGCCTGCCAGAGAAAGAAAACACGACAAAACCAGGCAAACGTGGGAACAAGAAGCTCTGTTAAGCTTCCGTGTGGGCTTCTCGGCTGGCCCCGTGGCACGGAGAGGCGACCCTAATTTAAAAATGGACTGGGAAGCACGGCAGGTGGCGAGAAGGGGAAGGCTCCAGGTCTGGAAGAAAAGACGCGCGCTGACACGCAACACCCAAGCCAATTTGTGAGCTACTATTTACAGATAAACTGCAGATCTTCCTTTCGCTACATTCCCCAAACAAGCTGCTTGCCGGAAGAGGGGACCAGGTGTGTTGCTCCAACTCACCCGTAACGTTGGCAGGGCACCAGTCCTCATGAAGACCGGGGTGCATTTGGTAGGTGGAGAGGTTAAAAAATGCTGGGTTTGGGTCGGGCAGGAAGTACTTGGGAAAGGCCCGCAGACGTGCCTGCCGGCTGATCCGGAGGGGACGGGCGGAGGGGGAACGGCTCCGAAGAGACACTCGGCTGCGAGTGAGGCACCTCGCTGGTTCACGCGGGCCCTGACTGCTGACACGACGCTTTCGCCCCGGCGCGTGTGTTTACCGAAGAGTTGGGGAGAAGGGTCCGCGGAAAAGATAGCGCAGAGTTTAAAAGGGTGCGGGCACGGCACTCATGCTCCACATGATCAAGAGCAGAAAAACATCTTTGGAGGGGAGGGAGGGGCAGCTGCTGCTGTGGGAGAGGCGGCTTCCATTCCGACAAGCCGGCGGCCACACGGGAAGACCGGCTTGCTGGAAGCGTGGAAGGCACGTCTTCCTCCGTGATCTGGGGGCAACCGCTCCTCGCGAGCGATGCCACCGTCTTTACCCTGAGGGGACCTGCTTCCTAGGAGGGTGGCGACACCGTTCTGGAAGGCAGGCCGGCCACGGGGCTGGAGCGCCTGGGCTCGCCTCTGCCCCCGTCTGGCTACTGGCCCGGCCCAACCGGCCGAGAGCAGCCTTGTGCGTGGGGCGCACGGACCCCCGGGGACGCTGGGCACGGCGCCCAAGCCCTCCCCCCCGACCCGCACGGCTCCTGCCGCAGCCCTGCGTTACGGGTGGCGCGGCCCGACCGTCAGGAGCACACGCGGCGCTCCGGACCCAGGCACAGGGGTGCGTGTGTTGCGGGACCACCCAGCCGGGCTTCTGCGGCGGGCGCACACGTGCCGGCAGCCACGCGCTCAAACTGCGGGCACGGCGGGGGCTCGAGCGGCCCGCAGTGCCACCCCATCCAGCAAGATGACAGCGGGGGGGTGATTTTCCCGGCTCCCTGCCCAGCCTTCCTCCCGCGGGCACCTGCAGCGGTGCTGCACCACGATTCCCAGCATCCCCGGCTGCTCAAGCTTGTCTGGGCCTGCTACTGACAGCGCAAACCCAGGGACAGGGGCCTAAGAGACACCCCCATTCCCAGATGTCGGGGGGGTGCACCGCGGCACGGCAGGCATGGAGGGGCAGGCAACTGCGCGCACAAATACGACGGAGGGATGGTCGACAGATGCCGCCCCCGGAGCCGCGTGCTTCCCGGCGTGGGCGCCTGCAGACCCCCCAACCCAAGCGGAAGGCGTCGGGGTGGCCTGCCTCCGCGGGACGGGCTCCGGGTAGCACCGACCGGCCCCCACGGGAGCCCCCCCGCCCCCCAGGCAGGGAAGCATCTCAGAGCCCCAGGAAACCTGCTTTTGGGCCACGGGGGCAGGAAGAGGGAGAGGGGCTCTGACGTGCGGCCCCCTCCCTCCACCCCGACGCAGGGGGATCGGACTCTCAGCACAAGCGGCCCTCGTGGGGCGCAGGGCCGGCGGTGGCTGGCGGTGACCCGCGGCAGGGAGGCCCCCCCTCGCAGAAAAGCCACCAAGGGCACGGGGACCACGCCGCCACGCTCACTGCCCGCGCAGCCGCCTTCGGTCACGGGGCAGGCCCAGGGGGGAGGCACGGCTGGGAAGCGGAGCCCCCCTCCATGGGCCGGGAGCAGGACGCCGGGAAGGCAGCTCCTGGCCTGGCCGGGCCATTGCAAGAGCCCCGTCGACCCAGACTGCACAGGCAACGGCCGGGATTCTCGCGGCCGCAGCCCAGCTCCTGGGGGGCCACGTGCTCCCCAAGCCTGCGAAGCAGGGGCCTTACGATTCGGAAACGGGAGAGCGCGCCAAGCAGAAAACATCAGCCTCCCAAAGACCAGCGTGGAAGGAACACATGACATAAACAGACCGTCCCACGGGCGAAAAAGCTTTCAAATGTGCAAATGGATTCGGGAAAGACATGCCCCTCGGAGCGGCCGTTCCACACGCCCCTCACAGCGGGCATCCACCTCTCGACAGCATCCAGGTGCCCTCATCTGCCTCCCCACATTTCATTTTCTGGGGGGAAGAAACCACCCACAACCGGTGGAGTCCCAACAGCAAACTGGGCTCGCCTCCACCCTCCCTTCGATCCGTCTCTCTCTCACACACACACTCCACTTAGACCAATTGATCTGAACCAATTTTTGCCAACTATTTTAATTAAAATGTTATTTCATTGAATCGTCCAGGGTCTGGCACACCATCGTTGCGAATGCAAAGGGGGTGGAGGGGAGGGGAGGAAGGCGACACGACGGGCTCTGCTGAAAGCAGCACATGGATCGCGACCGACGCCGCGGGGGCGCGGGGGGGGGAGCGTCAGCAGCACCGCAGCTCCACGGAGCGCTTCACACGGAGGCGGCGAGGTCTGGGGAGGGCCCCGAGCAGAGTCCGTCCAAACCGTCACCCTCCGTGGGGGCCAAAGGACGACGGCCGGATTCGCCCCTCACGGACCCAGCCCCCCACAAATATCCCACGTTAACAGCAGGTTACTGAGGTGCTGCGTAAGAAGGACCCCATCCAGACTTCCCGGGAATCCGGCGAGTTTCCCAGTTAACCTGCACTGCTCCCCATTCTCCCAGTCTCGGCTGAACCCCGTCGCCTTCCGGGAAGGAGTGAAACCGGTTTCATGCCCACCGCGAGGAAAAGGTGCAAGAAGGGCCGTTCCTCCGGCCACGGGTGCCGGGGCAGCTCCGAGGACCTGGCCATGTTCACACAGGACCCCCCCTTTTGACACCCGCATGCCCCCCCGGAACTGCTATGCTTAGAGAGGTCGAGCGCACGGCCTGGCCTCGGAAATCCAGCGTCACGCCCTGCCCTCTCCGGAGGCGGCTGCGGGGCCCCCCGGGTTCCCAGCGATACGATCGACCGGAGCAGAGCAGGGAGGGAGCAGGGAAGCGTTAGCCGAGTTAAGGACCCGGAGTGGCTGGTACTTTCGCTAATTCTTTTTAAAAAGTCACACTGATTTAAAAAAAAAAAAAGAACTGAGCAGCAGTGCAACACAGATTAGAGTATTTTCTATACAAACATGTCGCTCGGACACGAACACATTCGGAACAAAAACCTGCATTTCGGAGCCCCGTCCAAGTGTTCAAAGGCATACGCTAGAGTTAGTAGCTAAGTGTTTCCTTGCGAAGTGTCAGGAGACGAATTTACACGGATCGCCAAGTGGAGCAGCCCTGGGCCCCCTCTCCCGGTGCTGCTCGCACCCCCCCCCCACCGGCTGCCTTGGCAGTTCGGTTTCCAAAGGCCTTCCCCACGGGGAGGACCCTGCCTCACCCGCCGGCCCCCACTCACCCTGAATTCAAGCACGCACAGAGCGCCCAGGAGAGCCCCCGGGCAGCCCCTGCGGCTGTGGGTCCCATGGCGGAAAGGCAGCGGGCCGAGCCAGTGGCCGGGCCGGGCCGGCAGGGGCCGTCAGGCTGGTCGGCAGCGGGGAGACCCTCCCCGGGGGCTCTCCGCGCCCCCATGGCAACTAAAAACACACCGAACGGTTGGCTGCGGCTTTACATGTAAACGAGAAACTGTGGCAAGTCCAGGAAGGTCAACCGAGCTGGCAACTGTAGTGTCAGGAGCGGGACGAGCGGCTCCCGCCACCGATGGCGCGGGCTGCGGTTCCGATTTATGGCATCTCGCACTCACAGCGCTTCTGCAAAGGCGGCCCGGTGGCTGCGAGCCGGGGAGGGTTCGGAAGGACGGGGCGGGCGGGCGACTCCGGGCATCGCGCAACGGTCCTGGCGCTCAACTAGAAGGAGATGTCACAGCGTTAAGCTGGAGAGGCCCCCCCGCCGGGCGCCCCCCCGCCTCCACGGGGGCAGCTGCATGGGCCAACCGTGCGCAGGCCCCCCGGCGGCGCCCCGAGACGAGAGCGGCTCCACCCCGGCCTCTCCGGGCATCCACCTCGTAGTGCAATAGAGAAAGTGCGCGCCGGGGGCGCGGAGGGCTTGCGGCGCCCCCCCCGGCAGGCGAAGCCCCCCGTGGGCCCCGCCTCTGCCAATACCACCACCGCGAAGCAGGGGGGGAGGGAGCCGGGCAGGCGCGCCCCCGGGAGGGGAGCCGCGTCCCACCAGCCTCCCAGGACGGGAATCTGGGGGGGACCCCGCCCTGCGAGCCACGCGGCTGGGGAGAGGGGGAGCCCCCCCGGTGCCGCCAGGGGAGGGCTGCCCTCCGCTCCCCCCGCCGTGCCCCCAGGCGTCCTTTCCGGGCGTGCGGAGAGTGCCTGCGGGGGAGCGCTCGCACAGTGCCCGGCCAGCCTCTGGGGAAGGGGCGTGCGAGCGAGCGAGCGTGCAAGCGTGCGCGTGTCTGTCTGTCGGTCGGTCGGTCGGTCGGTCGGCAGGCTGCGCGGGCGGGCAGGCAGCCCCGGCGGAGTCCGGCCCCGGGAACGGCGCTGGCGCCACTATGTGTAGGACATGTGGGACCCGTTGGAGATCTGCGAGGCGACGCTGCTGCTGCGGCTCATGCCCGGCTCCGTCCGCCCCCCGGAGGCCGTCCGGCGCAGGGCCTGGGGGCTGTTGCGCACGCCCAGGGAGCCGCCCCGGGGCACGCCCTGCATGGGCCCCGAGGGGTGGCCCCACGGCTGGGGGCCGCCCTGCATCGGGTGGCCCCAGGCGGGCGGGGGCCCCCCCGTGGGGTGCCCCCAGTGGGGCCCCGCGGCCCCGGAGGGGTGGTGCGACCAGCTGGACGCTCCCGGGTAGCTGTGGCTGAACGCCTCGGGGGAGAGGCTCGAGAGGACCATGTTGCTGAAGCCGAGCCGCATGCTCTCCGAGTCGAAGGCCTCGATCTCCCGCGCCTGGCGCTCCAGCAGGCTCCGGATCCGCTCGGTCCGCTCGTTCTGCAGGGCCACCATCTCCTCCTCGATCTGGGCGGGGAGAAACGGGAAGCGCAGGGCAGTCGTGGCCGAGGCGCCCGACGAGGCTCCCGCAGGAACCGGCGCGCCCAGCCCAGGCGCTCCTTCGGGCAAGCGTCTGCGCCCCTCGCCCACGTCCCGAGTGGTGCTCCGGGGGCCGGCGGCATCGGAGCGAAGCGGGGCAGCCAACGAGGGGCACCCAGCACACAGAAACCTCACGTCGGACAACCGGGCCTCGCGAGGGGGCTTCGGAGGCCCCCCAGCTGCCACGCCGTGGAGTCCGCCGAGGCGGGAGCTCCAAGGACTGCGGCCCAAGAAACTTCCCCCATGCCCGGGGCAGAATCTGCCTGGCCCTTGCCGCCGCAGCCCCCCGCTGCCCCACGGGCGGCATCGGCCCCTGCCCTGCTCGCCTGGTCCTGTCCGCAACGGAGACGCGCAGCACCGGGCCACAGCCGGTGCCAGCCCAACTCAGAGTAGACCCATTCAGGCGCGTGGTCTTGACAGTCGGCCATGACGAAGTCCTATTCATCTCAGCGGGTCGACTTGAGACCGGACTGGCGCTGGCCCACGACGCCACGCGTGCTTCAGGCGGAACAGAACGTGGGCCTGGCCGCGGGGCTCCGAGTCTGCTCGGCCACGGGGCCCACGGGGGACTCTGGGCCGGGCACAGCCACTCGGCCGAGCCCGCCTCTCGGGGCTGTCGGTCGGGGTAGGATGGGCTACTTCGTTCCCCGTGAGAGGGGAAAAGCAGGAAGCGGCGCAGTGCGAGGCGCCCCCTAGTCTGGTGGCCCCATCCTTCCCCCTGTGGCAGCCTTCCACGGCCTGCGGAGGCCCCGCTCGTCGGGCAGAGCCCGGCAGCCGCACGGCAGCTCTGGAGGCGGCTGACGGGGGGCAGCAGCGGCCGGAGCAGGCCGGCAGAGGGGGCACTCCGGCCCAGGCGCCCCCAAGCGGCCCTTCGGCCCCGCAGGGAGGGAGGCGGGGAAGGCGGGCGGGACGCGCGCCCGGGCTGAGCACGCGAGCCAAGACCCCAGCAACGCGGGAGCCACCGGCCTGGCTGGGACGCGCCCGCAGGGGCCCCCGAGGGGCGGCCGTACCTTCTGCTCCAGGAGGGCCCTGCGCAGGGACACGCGCTGCTCCAGCTCGCGCAGCTCCCGCTCGTGCTGGGCCTCGGCCTGCATCTTGATCTTGCTCTGGTAGGCGTTGAGCAGCTCCAGCTCCTGCTGCAGCTGCATCTTCAGCACCTGGCACTCGGCCTCCTGCGCCTCGTCCAGCCGGAGCTGCAAGGCGGGACAGGCGTTGGCCGGGCAGCCCTGGGCAGGGCAGGGCAGGGCAGGGCCCCCCGGCCCCCGGCACTCACCGCCTGCGTGGAGAGCATCTCGTTGATGCTGTGGTCGTACTGCTCGGCCAGGATGGCCAGCTTGCGGGTCTGCTCCTCCTTGAGCCGCTTCAGCACTGCCTTGTGCTCGCTCTTGGGCGCCGTCTCCAGCAGGTGGTTGCGCAGCGCCTTGTACTGCCGCGTCTGGATCTTGCAGGTGTCCTGGAACTGCTTCTTGATCTGGAGCTCCTTCGACTGGGGCGGGCGGGCGGGGGGGGGGCAGGTGAGCACGGGAAGGTGCCCACACGCCTCCCCGGCCCCCGAGCAAGGGCCGCCGGCCCGCCGATGGCCAGCCCGGTGGCATGGACGCCGGCGGCACCTCAGGGGTCCCCGGGGGCCCCAGGGCCGGGCCCGAGCCCCTGCTCTGCCCCGCTGTCGAGGGCGGGCGGCCTACCTTGAGGCTCTTGGGCTGCTGCCGGACCTCGGTGACGTGCTTGCGCCGCAGCTCCCGCTCCCGCCGCTTGTTGTACTCGAGCTGGTTGGCGAGCTCGGTCTGGTGCTGCAGGCGGATCAGCTCACCCCGCATGCGCTGCACGGCGCCCAGGTGCCGGAACTCCAGCTCCTGCATGGACTCGTGCTGGCGCAGCAGCATGGCGTGCTCCAAGTCCTTCTGCGTCTGCCTCTTGTTGAGCTCCTGGGGGGGCAGGGGGGCGTCAGCCGCGGGTGGGCGGGGGCCTCTGTGGGCGCCCAAGGGCGGTGCCCCCGCCCACCCCCCGGGGCCGCGGCACCCACCCCCCAGCCCGGGGCCCCTGCCGGCCCCCCCACGCACCTCCCGCACGAGGTCCTGCTCCAGGTTGTGGCGCGCCAGCAGCATGCGCCTCTTGAAGCGCCGGCACTCGAGCTCCAGGTACTGCCGCTGGCGCCGCAGCAGGTTGGCCTCCTCCTCGGCCTGGAAGTGCTGGATGTTCTCCTTCTGCTTGGACAGCCACTCCTGCTTCTCCTTCTTGGGGGTGCTCTGGTTCTCGTTCAGCTCCTGTGGGAGCGGGGCGGGCGAGGGGCTTGCTGGGGTGCGGGCAGGCGGAAGCGCGCCTCGGCCCCGGCCCCGGCCCCGGTCCCCTCCCCAGCTGGGCGGGGAGCTCCGACCGGGGGGCGGTGGGGTCCAGCCCCCGGGCCCGACGCGCGGCACTCCGGGGCTGGACGGGCCCCCCGCACCGAGGGGGCTCTCGCTTCCCCGCTCCCGAGCATCGCGCCGGAAGGCAAAGCGCGCCTGGCTGGGGGGCTCCGGGGCAGCCTCCCGTCCCAGAGGGCCGGCCAGGCAGGGGGCGGGGGGGGCGCCTGCGCGCTCTCGGGCGGTCACCTCCTTCAGCTGCTCCTTGCGCAGCTTGTACTCCCTCTTCTGGGACTCCAGGAAGCTGCTCAGCTCCTTCTTCTGCTGGGCCTGAATGTGCTGCTGGAACTTCTTCTCCTCGTTGGCCATGACCTTTGCCTGCGCGAGAGCAGGGGAGAAGCGCTGGCGGCCGAGGACGCACCCTGCGGGCCCGAGGGGGGCACGCTGCGCGCCCTGCCCCTTCCGGGGAGCCGGGTCAGGTGGCCAGCGGAGGCACTGGGCCAGCCCTCCGGCTGGGTGGAGGCACGGTCCCCAGCATCTGCCGCCCAGGGGGTACCGGGAGCTGCCGCCCGCCCGCCCGCCCGCCCGGGGGAACAGGGGGCTCAGGGTCGACCGGGGCCCCGCACCTCCTTCTCCATGGCCGCCTGATGCTTCTTGACGAGCTTCTCCATCTCGGCCGCGAAGTTGCTGCGCTGCGTCTCGAGGTCCTTGTCGAGCCGGAGGCGGTGCTCGTCCATCTCGGCCTTCAGCTTGTTCTCCAGGGCCATGAGCTGCTTCTGGTGCTGCCGCCGCATCCGCTTGTAGCCCGACATCTGCTCCCGCAGCTCCGAGTCCTGCTCGTGCTCCTGCATCTGCCTCGTCACCTGCGGGGGGGGCAGCGCCACAGGGCGGGCTCCGGTTACGCTGGCAGGGGGGCGCTGCGAGGCCCAGGCGGGCGCCAGAGCCGTGTTGCCGGCAGAGCGGGCGACGGGAAGGAAGGAATGCGAGAGGGAGCCTCCGCTCGGCGAGCGTTGCCGGTGAAAGCCACCGCTCAGGCGCAGGGCCTGTTTTGCGTTAGACGGCCGTGCGAGAAGGAACCTCCGATGATCCTCCCAAGCGATGCTCGCAAAATGCTTCAGAACAGGTTCAACGGGGGGTCCTAAGGCTCAGCGTCCTGAAAACACTGATGCGTCTGCGGCTGCCGGGGCAGTTTCGACAGAGGCCGCCTCGCGTTTAGGGTGGAGGCGGCAAGAGCTTCCTCCTTGGCCAGACCCTTTCTTGCCTCGTGCCTGGGCTCCCAGGCAGCCCGCCAGCCTCCAGCACCGGGGGCCGGAAGCCGCACCGCACGAGGACGGCCGGGGGGGGGGGGGG